TACTTCTAATTATTTTATTTTTTAAGATTAGATGCTATTATAAATTGAATTGTTCATTTAAAGTTTTTTGCAGATTGTTTCTTTCAAGTGCATAGGAATATGATTATCTGCGTGTTGGTTTTATAATCAGAACTTAGATTAATTTACTTATTAACTCTAATAATTGTTTTGTGGATTTTTGGAGTATTCTACCTATGACCTATAAGATCATAATGTCTGTATCAATTGAGATAATCATGTCATTTTTGTTCCTTGATTCTATTAATGTTATAGTTCATTCATTTTTGTATATTAATCCATTCTTTACATTCCAGGAAAAAATCCCACATAATCATGATGAATTATTCCTGTAATATGCTGCTAAATATTATTTGCTAATATTTTAAGCAAATATTTGCAAATTCATAGGGGATATTAATCTGAATTTATTATGTTTTTTCCTTGTAATATCTTTGTCTAGCTTTGCTATCAGAGTAATGTTGACATAATAGAAAAAAAGAAGTGTTACTTTTTCTTCAATATTTTTGTAAGAGTTTGAGACTAACTGGTGTTAAAGTTTTCTTTACCTGGCTGAGTTCACCAGTGATACCAATGACCCTGGGTTTTTCCTTTGTTGGGCAGGCAGTTTTTGATTATTGATTCAATCTCTTCACTCGTTGTGTGTCTATTCAGATTTTCTATTTCTTCTTGAGTTAGTTTATATAGATTGTATATTTCAAAAAATTTGCCCATTTCACGTAGGTTAGTTATCCAATTTTTACTGTATACTATTCATAATATTCTCTTACAATCCCTTTTACTTCTACAAAACTCATAGTAATTTTCCTACTTTTAGAACTTGTTTGCTAATTTGAGTTTTCTTTTTTTTAGTTTAATATAAATAAAATTTGTCATTTGTTTTTCTTTTTCAAAGAACCAAATAATTTTTGCTTATTTTCTCTATTGCTATTTTCTCTCCTTTTTTAAATTTATCTCTTCACTAATTATTATTTCTTTTCATCTTCCTTCTGCTAGATCCGGGTCGAGTTTGATTTCTCTGGATACTTAAGGTTGTAGTTAGGTTATTGATTTGAGATGTTTTTAAAGTCTGATTGTGATATACTATTTTGATTTCCTTAGTTTTCCCTTTCCAGTATATTTTTCCAGTCTTAATGAGGAATAATTGACTAATAAAAATTGTATATATTTAAGGTATATAAATTGATATTTTAGTATAAATATGCATTATGGAATAATTTCAACATGATGCTAATAAACATATCCATGCTCTCACATAGTTATCACTTTCATTTTCTTTTCTTTTTCTCATGGTGAAAACACTGAAGATCTACTGTTTCAGCAGATTTTGAGTATACAATACAATATTGGTAACTATAGTTACATTGCTGTAACTTAGCACTCCAGAACTTTTTCATCTGACATAACTAAAACTTTGTACCCCTTAGTCAACATCTTCCAATTTACTCCTCTCCCCAGCCCTAGAAACCATTCCACCACTCTGTTTCTGTGAGTTTGGCCATATAAGTGAAATCCTGCAATACTTATCTTTCTGTATCTGGCTCATTTCACTTAGCATAATTTTCTCCAGGTTCATCCATGTTGACATAAATGATAAGATTTCCTTTCATTTAAAGGCTGAACAGTATTTGTGTGTGTATGTGTGTGTGTGTGTGTGTGTGTGTGTGTGTGTTTACATAACATTTTCTCTATCTTTTCATCCACTGATGGATACTTAGCTTGTTTCCCTATCTTTGCTATTGTGAAAAGTGCTATTGTGAAAAGATATCTGAGAGCCCAAGTATTTCCTCACGACAGTGATTTCATTTGGATATACACTTAGAAGTGAAATTTCTGGATCACATGCTAGTTTTATTTTATATTTGGTTAAGGAGTCTGTACTATTTTCTGTAACAACTAAACCAATTTACTTTCCCACCAACGATGTATAAGAATTCCCTTCTCTCTCCATATTCACATCTTTTGTCATTCTGCTGTTGAGATTTGGTGGTATTTCTGGAAATGTTTCTTATACAGAGGTGGATAGCAATGATAATCTAATTGTGCACTGAAGTGACTGTATATAATTTTAAGTCCAAATTAAATGGTTCTCAATTCAGCTTCCCTTAGTGGATCTCTGATATGAATTCTGAATCATTGGTTGTGGTTACAAAAGAACAAAAGATTCTGTGTTGTTGGAACAAAGTATCTTTACTGTGGTGGTAGTCATAAGTGAAAATAACGTATATAGCCAAATACACAGGGGAGAGAGAGACAGACCAAGAGAGAAAGAGAGGGATTAGAACATGTAAAACTGGGAAAATCAGGACAAAATCAGTGCACTGTTATCAGTGTTAATATCCCGGCTGTGAAATTGTACTGTAGTTTTTCAAAACAGGTCTCTTTTCTCCACAACCTCAACAGTACTTACTGTTTGTCATTAATATCCACCCAAACAGGGTTGAAGTACTATCTCATTGTGGTTTTAATTAGCATTTCCATCCTGAGTAGTGATGTTGAGCAGATTTTCATGTACCTTTTGTCTATTTGTATGTTTCTTTTGAGAAATTGCTTCTCAAGTCCTTTGCCCACTTTTTAATCAGATCATTTGTCATTTGCTATTAAGTTATTGAAATTCTTAATAAATATTTTAAACATTAACTCTTTATCAGATCCGCGATTTGCAGGTATTTTGTCATTACCTTTTGAAGCTATTGCTTGTCTCTTTTGCTGTGCAGAAACTTTTTGGTTTGATGCAATCCCACTTGTCCATTTCACTTTTATTGGCCATGCTTTCGGTGTCATATCCATGAAATCATTGCCAAATCCAATGTTAAGTAGTTTTTCCTTATTTTTTTCTTCTGGGAGCATTATGGTTTCAGGTCTTATATTTAAATCTTCATTCTATATAGACTTGACTTTTGTATACAGTGAGATAAAAGGGTTCAATTTCATTCTTTGACATGTGGATATTCAGTTTCCTCAATACCATTTATTGAAGAGACTGTCATTTCCCCATTGGTGCCCTTGTCAAAAATCAATTGATCACAAATATATAAATTTTTTTCTGGCCTCTCTATTTTTTTCCATTTGTCTGCATGTCTGTTTTATGACATTACCATACTGTTCTAATAACTCAATTTTGAAATTAATAAATGATCCTCTAGCTTTGTTTTTCTTTCTCATAATTTCTCTGACTATTCAGTATCTTTTGTGGTTTCATATGGTATTCAACTTGTTTCTTATAGTTCTGTTAAAACGCACATGTATTTTGAAAAGGATTGCATTAAATCTATAGATCAGTTTGGGTAATATGAACATTTAAACAATGTTAATTCTTCCAGCCTGTAAATACAATATATCTTTCCATATGGCATGGATTCCAGGCTATTTGTTAACTGAGGCTTTACGTGTGAGATTTAAATCTTTCCTCAGATTTGCAAATTTTCAGCCATATTTCCTCAAATATTTTTTTCTTCCCCTTTCTTTCTGTCCTCCCTATCTGGTATTTCTATAAGGTATATGTTAGCAAGCATGATAGTATTCCACTGGTCGTTCAGTTATGTTTATTTTTCTCATTCTTTTTTCTTTTGCTCCTCCGACTGGATAATTTCAAATGTCTTATCTTCAAGCTTGCTTCTCCTCTCTTCTGCTTATGTGAATATACCATTGAATTTCTCTAATACGGTTTTTATTTTTGTTTTGATAAAGAAATTATGAAAATTTCCAGAATTTTTCTGTTTGTTTTTATGTATATGTTTTGATATTGTCGTCTTGTTCAGATGTTGTTTTGTCTGATTTCTTTGGTTATTTGTACATGTTTTCCTTTAACCCAGTAAACATATTTAAGCCATCTGATTTAATATTATTAATTAATAATTTTAATGTCTGCGCTTTCTCAGGGATTCTTTCAATCAAATTCTTTATTTGCTATAAATGGATTGTATTTTCTGATTTCTTTATGTTTTAAAATGTTTATTACTGAAGAAAATTCTGAGTAATATGTGTGGTAATTCTGAAAATGTAATGCTCTTGTTTCTCAAGGAATGCTTGTTCCTTGCTTGTTTATGCCTGAAGCAATCCTACTGTGATTTTCCAAACTACTTTGCAATAATATTTTGCAAACCATTTATTTGCAAATGATTTTACATATTTGTTGTGTATGGTCGCTAAAGTTTCTGTTCCATTCTTCAATTTTATCTTCAGTCATCAATGACCTGCCAATAATTCCCTTAAATTTCTGGTTCCCAAGTTGGTAGGGAGCAAAATTCCTGTCTCTGAATCTCTTCCTGTCTGTGAATCAATTTCACCCCTTTGAGATTGAAACAATGACCCTATGTGATCACAAGCAGCAATTAGCTATCAAAACACACAGCCTGATTCCTGGAGGACAAGGTTTGGTTTGCCCATCCTGATTCCAGGAAGATGACCTGAATGTGGTTTATAGTTCTGTGCTGTGGGATAAGGGTTGGAGGCTGATAGACACTAATGTAAGAGCTGAACCTGAAACAAAATTTGCCAGTCTTTTCACTGACCTCTCATCAATCTCTTCTCTAGATGCTTCAAGAGTTCTATTAGACCCAGAGTTCCAAAATAGTTGCTTCAGACAGATAATGCAAAACAATTTCTTCGATGTTGGAACAGATTCCTGGAGCTTTCTACATCTCTGTGTTCTATGAAGTCACTGCTGCTTATTTTTATTTGGGTACTTTCCCTTTTGTTTTTAAGATGTAATTGAGAGTTTTTAAAATATATCCTGGACACCAAGTACCTTATCAATGTAGAATTTATAAATATCTTCTTTTATACATGAGTTGTAATTTCACTCTCTATTCATGGTATTTGTTTGGTAAATATATATTAATTTTGATGAAGTTTAAATTATCTTCTTTTTAGCATCATATCTATTAAACCACTGTATAGCTTAGAGTTCTGAAGATTTACACCTATGCGTATTTTCTTTCCTTCTTTTCTTTTTCTTTTTTAAATTATTTTTTAAATCTAACCATAACAAAACAAAGCATCAAAAAATTAGTTAAAAACTCATGTTCATCCCCATGGAAATCTTTGATAAAAGGTGAAAGATTTATGCAATCTGAAGAGAAACTGGAGTATTACACCTTTATTTTGTTACCTGGGCTGCAGTGCAGTGGCATGACCATGGCTCAGTGTAGCCTCAAACTCCTGGATCAGTTGATCCTCCCATCTCACCCTCTAGAGAGTAGCTGGGACTACAAGCACAGGCCACCATGCCTGGCTAATTCTGTGTAGTTTATGTGGAGACAAGGTTTTACTGTGTTGCCCAAGCTGGGCTTGAACTCTTGGACCCAAGTTATCTGCTCTCCATGGCCTCCCAATGTTCTAAGATTACAAGTTTGAGCCCTGGCACCCAGCCTACACCTATACATTTTACAAATAATTCTACAATATCATTTCTTATATTAAAGTGTTGATCCATTTTTATTTATTTTATTTTTTTTTGTATTTTGTTGCTAGAGGTTCAGATTCATTCTTTTGTATGTACATATCTCATTGTCTCAGGACCACTGGTCAAGAGAGTATCCTTCGACCACTGAGTGATCCTGGCACTCTCGTCAAAAATCATTTCACCATAAATGTTAGGTTAGTTGTATCTATTATTGAAAGGGGGGGCTCAAAAATTTCCAACTATTATTTTTTATTTTTAAATTTCTCCTCAGACTGTATATATGTTTATGATTTTTATGTCTTCTTGATGGAATAAGCCTTTTATAAGAAGTTTGCCTTTTAATTATTAAAATATTGGTTATGTTTAAATTTTAGTTTTAAATTATTTATTGAATATCTAATATGTGCCGAGTACTGTTAAAGACTTTATAGCATAAACAATGAATAAATATGTAAAAAATGTTGTTTTTATGGCGCCTGCATTTCAGTTGAAAAGCCAGATTGAAAGTATTATATGTAAAGAAGTAATATGTTAATGTAAAAAAAATAGGGCCGGGCGCGGTGGCTCACGTCTGTAATCCCAGCACTTCGGGAGGCCAAGGCAGGTAGATCACAAGGTCAAGAGATCGAGACCATCCTGGTCAACATGGTGAAACCCCATCTCTATTAAAATACAAAAAATTAGCTGGGCATGGTGGTGTGTGCCTGTAATCCCAGCTACTCAGGAGGCTGAGGCAGGAGAATTGCCTGAACCCAGGAGGCAGAGGTTGTGGTGAGCCGAGATCGTGCCATTGCACTCCAGCCTGGGTAACAAGAGTGAAACTCCGTCTCACACACACACACACACAAATGAACAACATCAGGAGATCATCACCACTAGATAGAAATGGCTGAGGGATTGAGAGGACTGCAGACTACATTGGGTAGTGAGGGTAGAACATAACAAACACAACTGAAATTTATTGTTAGGTTAGTAATCGTGGATTTATTGCTTGCAATACTAGTGCACATGGAAAAGAAATGAAGGTGTAAGAAAAAGAAATGAAAATTAATTGGAGTAACTCATACTTGCAGCATTGTTTTGAGAATATCATAGGCACCATTGTACTGAATTTCCATAGCTCTGTGGGATGGTGCTCATTATAATCCTCATTACACTGGATAGATTGAGGCTTAAGGCATTTATTATTTGTTTATGGCCATAGTATAAAGCAGGGGTTAGTTAGGTAAATTAGGCTACTGAGCTTTTGATAGAGGCAGGAGGCAGACAAATGCCTAGGTATATAAGGAAGGGTCCCCAGAGAATCTCCATCCCAACAAATAAGTGTTTGAACCAGATGTTTTGTACAGATACAGGAACCTGCTCAGCATCTTGCTTGGGCAGGCCTACAACAGACCGGAGGCCCACATACACTTAGGGAACAGGGTAGAGCCACCAGGAATTCACACCTTACGCAGAGGAGGAACCTGGTCTATTCAGCTCTTGTGGGAATTCTGGTATTCAATTTGTAAGGTGGAAACCTGTGTGCAAGACCCTGGTCTTTGCTGAGAGCATTCCTTTCACTTAATGAATTCCCAACTCCTTACCTTTCAGTGTGTCTGCGTGCCTCATGTTTCCTGGTTGTGAGATAAGAACCCAGATTTCGCTGAACTAAGGAACACAAAAATCCTGCATCACTTTTACATGATTTTGTTAAATATCAAATGTGTTCCGTACATATTCTATAATATATTCCAAAAATTTGTTTTTAGACAAAATCTCTCATCACATTTATTTTAAATGAGTCTCTCAAAAGGGAAATATAAAAGCACTGGAAAGCTAAGTTTCCATTTAGAATAATTTTAAAGTAAAGTTAAAGTAAGATTCCAGAATATGTCATTTTGTTTAAATAATTATTATTTATGCAACCTTCTATTTGTTTCAAAATATTAAAAATAGAATGTGAGTCTCAGTAAGTAAACAGCCTACATATTTAATGTACCTACTAGTATGTCCAAATATTCAGCCTAGATATTATTTGTATTTTAAGTTACTTCCATAATACTGAAATTAATAGTAAAGTTTCCATTCCAAGAGATAATATTATTCATGTTTATTAATTAGGTACAGATACAGAACAATCTTCTGTGTGACTAGATAAATTATTTTTTGCATAATCTGACATGTCTGCCTCTTTCAAACTTTTTCTTTGTAAGTATTCTAATACTTTTAGGCATTAGATTTCAAACATATTTTCAAGCACACATTTTTTTCAGTGTGAAGCTTCTTAAATTATTCATTAGATTATCATGCATTAATCTGACTTACTTTCATGAACAACTTAATTTATATGTCATTAAATGGGAAACAAGATAAAGTCTGAAATATGATGAAATCACAACTTTAACTCATTATACTAATACTCTTATTAGGAAAAGAAACTTCAATTAAATCTACAATCTGTCAGAAAGAAATAAACATAATGAAAGAAAGACTTTACATGTTACATATGTATGAAAAATAGAGACATAAGATGGTAACTATATTTTAATATTAGCTAATCTTCTTTAGGACCTGAAAGAAGAAATGAATCCTGTCAATATTATTATTCCATTTAGAAACACACAGAAATAAATACATGTATAGGAATGTAAAACTTTAAGGGGCCTTCACTGTTTTATTACCTTGACTGTTTACTTCTGAAGGAAGAGTTCTGCATTTGAGAGTGATGTTAGTGAGTCTTCAATGCAATTGGTAGGAATGTTGGTACAATACTACCATATTTGAAAACCTGTCAAAAGTTTATCTATAAATCTAAACAATAAAAATCAGGTACAACTACTCATTTATTTATCAATTTACCAGGGGAAGGCTTTGTTAGATTCTAGGTAAGAATGTGGAGGCAGAGCTGGGTTGGGATAATAAATAAATATGCGTAAAGGTCATATACCTCTTTCTCCACAAGTAAACAGTCAAGGTAATAAAGCACATGGCTTCACATCAAAACAGCATTGAAGATGAACATGGAAGGTTGTTATGGTCTAAAAATGCGTACAACTGGAAGAAACAAAGAAGGCCCCTAAAAGGGACCTGGGATTCAATATGTGAGATGGGGGCGTGTGAATAGAAACCCCCTTTCCTTCGCTGAGTTTTCTTCCTTTTTTCTTGTCACCCAACACGTTCCATAACCTCCTCATACTTCGGAGTGTCTGCAAGCCTAATACTTCCTGGTTGTGAGACAAGAACCTGGTTTTTACTTAAAAAACTGGGTTCAAGAAACTTTGGACAGTTTCTTTAAGTTTTCTGAATATTAATTTGTTCGATTATGTGACTCTAGTTATGCCCACTTCTAGTGCTGTGGTGATTAAAATATGTTGTAACACAAAATGCCTAATGCTTTTAATTACTATTATTCAGAAATAATGATTTTATTTCTTTTGAATGATCCTCACCACTCTCAGAGTTTGCATTGTTGTTTTAAATGAGGGAAGGGGAAAGCAGTGAGACGGGAAGGGGAGAAATTACAAAATAGCGTAGCTCAACAGAAACCAAGTAATGAGGCACTTCATTAACCCATGAGTTTGGAATGGGATCTTGTAACTGCATGAGTTTTCTTTTTCTTTTTGGCTAGATGTATGTATCTAAGCAATCACAGAGGAGAAATTAATACATTCAAAGGAGATCCAAAATTATCCTGTTTCATAACGCAATTTTTCTATTATTTGATAGGTGCACTTTACACAAATGTTTAGTCTTTAATTAACCATCCATGGCATCAATATTTCTGAGATAAGTCATAAAAATGTTAGCTAAAAGCTGCTCCAGCACTTTTAAGAAGACAAAAAGCCAGAAGGAAAATTCAGACTTTATTTTAAACTGAAAGGATATACCTTGGTCAACTGTTAGAGGTGTAAAATAAAATGTTTTTCTTCAAAATATATTCAATTAAATTATGGCACCTTTCCAGTCCCTGAAGAAGCATCAGTGATATGTAACGGATTGAAGTATGTGCCCTTACTACTTTCTGTGCTGTTTAAATGTTTATGTTAGCATGTCATGAATACATGTTTGTGGAATTGAACCGAAATCAATTTAATCGAATTGAGGAAAGAAGTACTACACAGTTACCTGGTGGCTACCCTCCAGAGTTTGAAAGCTCAGATAATTTTATAAAAACATACTCATTGTCTTTCAAAGTGTGGATTAAGAATGGCAACATTATCTTGTTTTATTTTTCTTTTAAATTCTGATCCCAGAGATTCATTAGAAACAAAGGAATCACATTTGGGCCTGCTGGGCATAGGGATAGAGGAGAGACAGCATTAGGAGAAATACCTAATGTACATGATGGGTTGATGTGTATAACTGTGTAACATACCTGCATGTTCTACACATATATCCCAGAACTTAAAACATAATAAAAAGATAAAAATAAATAAAATAAAATCTATTTAGCAAAAACAAAACAAATAACAAAGGAATCAGAATCTTGGGCCATCACTCTTAAAAAGCTCTTCAAGGTGATCCTTGAGTGCAGGGAAGCTTGAGAATTGTCTTGTAAACAGAAAGAGTCACTTTTATAATGGAATAACTTGTTCTCCACCTTTACAACAGCCAAGATGAAAGCCTAAGACAAACATACCTTCACATATATTTATATACATCTAAGTGTGTGTGTGTAGCCTGCAATATATGGACCCAAATATAA